AGCAAAGGCTATTAAGAGAGAGATGTAAATGTGGTGAGAATTAGTCAGTACCCAAAATAGAAGTAGATAAATACACAATAAACTGGCAGAAAGAAGTTGAATATCTGGGACTTTGAAGCAATCAAAACAAAGCCATGGAACTTCCACTACTGGGTGGCCAACAAGATAAGCCACCATCTCATTCTGAATGATGTTTCATTTCTTTATGAACGCTGAGTTGTTTAGCTACTAAGAAAGTATTCTGGCTTTCTTACTTTTTTGTGTAACATTATGATAATTTACATTGACTTAATTAAATGAGTTTGTTCATTTTAATCTGAAAGAGGCTAAACACAAAAATTATCTAGTGCAGTGGTTTTCAGTATGATTTCCAGACCAACAGCATTAGCATCACCTTAGCAATTGTTAGAAATGCAAATTCTCTGGCCCTACTCTGTTAGACCTCAAAGTCTTAAATCCGAGAGACCACCAAAGAGCCAGCTCCGATGCAAACACACGGTCTTTATTCAGGCTCAAGTCTGGACTCACAAACTGAAACCAACACAGCGGCTCGAGAATGAGAGCCCCGACCTAGTACAGCAAGTGACTTATATACACAGTTGCGAGGGAAGGGCTGGGCGTAACTGGTTTTTCCTAGACTTGAGACATTATCTAACTAGAAGAGGGCATGATGTAGAAAACGAAGTCCACAGACCTTGCATAATTAGTTCTCAATTAGGTCCGTGGTGATGTCAGGGGACAGGAGTGCTTGAGATTGGTTGGTTAGCTTTTGATTTGTGCGGGCATGGGCTCAGCTGCCCGTTATTGACTACTAACGGCCAAATGGATGGAGGGGAGGTAGTTAAGCCTCCTGGAATGTCAGATAAGCTACGGTTTACAGTCAGCTTCGACATACAAGCAGGTTTGAAATGACACAGAGCCCACCAGAAGAGTGGCTGGCGCCACAGAGCCTACCATAATTTAAGCAAAGGAATGTCCAGGAGGGGCTTATTGCTTAACATTCACACACTGCCAGCAGTGGTTGCAGAAGCAGAAGAAGCCAGTTATTTCATTTAACATGGTTATTATGGGACAAACAAAAACTTAACAAAGTTCTAAGTACAAACACGGCAAATATTTTGTAACTTTACGGTCACAGTTACTACCAGGCACCTTACATATGCCTAGTCTTATGGGGTTTGAGGTAGGGATTTATAAAATACAGTGAACGTGAGGTAGGAATTCATATAGTAAGCGTTTCTTTCATAGCAAGTATAGTTCTTTTGAGTCCTTTGAGTCTCTCAACTCCAGATCTACTAAGTCAGAAACTCTGGAAATAGGAACTGCAGTTTGTGTTTTACATCCAGCAGATAATTCAAATTTCACTAAAGTTTGAAACAACAAAGCTCGTAATCTAGTGCAATCCTCTCATTTTCTAAATTATCAAACTAATGTGTGTACTTTAATTCAGCAGTCCCCAGTCTTTTTGGCATCAGGGACCGGTTTCGTGGAAGATAAATTTTCCATGGACAGCCATGGGGAGGGAGAAGGGGAAGCAGTAATCTTCAGGCATAAGATCCTCCTAAGGATCTTGCAATCTAGATCCCTCGCATGCGCAGTTCACCGTAGGGTTCAGGCTCCTATAGAATCTAAAGCCAGGCTGACCTGACCTGAGGTTTTGCTGTGCTCTCCTGCAGCTCACCTCCTGCTGTGCGGATTGGTTCTTAAGAAGCCACTGGTACCAATCTGAGGTCCTCCGGGGATTGGGGACCCCTGCTTTAACGGACACCTACTATGTGCCAGGAATTGTATTGAACCATTACATATACTTAATTATCATAACCATAGAAATATAGAAATTGTTTCTGTTTTATAGATGATAAAACCATAATTTAAAAAGAACGAGTAACTTCTTTAAAGATACATGTTTTACACACGTATACAGATGGCTGAATTGAGGTTAAGAGCTATTGTATATTATTCTAAATTCATTGACCTGTACTACTGTAATATAATACTTCCTAAAAATCAGATATGGAGAAATTGTGATTTGCTTATTGTTGCTTCAAAACTTAGTTGCACAGCTAAGATTAAAACTAGATTTTTAGTCTTATATTCTGTTTATTACAATTAGTACAGACTAGAATTTTCACATAAGATCATGAAATATGACTATAACTTCTATTAAGGTAAAGACAGCTTCATATCCAGTTCTCAACAATTATTTTTAAATAAATTAATATTTGTGAATTAGCAAGACCTACAAATATTTGTAGGTCTTGCTAATTCACAAATATTAATTTAACAATATCTGAATGTACAATATAAAATAAGTTAATATAAATAAAGCTAAAACAAAAAATAAACTTTTAGAATAAATAAGAATATTCATCTACATTAAAATTGGGTAGTAAAATATAAATAAAGTAAAAAGTAATTGCAAAACTAAATAATTAAGGAATTCATTTAAGAGATGCCCAAATATTTCATGAAAAACATTTTAAACTCTATGTAACAGCATTAAAAAAGACTGGGATAAATGGAAAGATATACTATGTAAATGGATAAAATTATAATCTTCATCTATGTGATTTCTTGCTCAAATAATCCATAACTTCAATGCAAGTATAATCAATTTTACGGCAATAATTGATCTTTTTTAGTAAAGAACAAACTGATTTTAAAATTTGTATGACAGAATAAGAGCAAGAGTAGCTAAAAGAAAGAAACTGGACCTAGTACACATTAAGACACACTGCAAAAATTTTAATAGTAAAAACTATAGCTTTTTGTCAATACAGATAAATAGATAAGTGTAGCAGAATAGAGAATTCAGCAACAGATTATGTATTGTATTTAAGAACTTGCTATATAATAAAAAGAGGCAATACAAAGATAATTGTTTCAGTAGGTGTGATGGCAATTTTTTTTTCTATTTATGAAAAATGAAGTTGCTTTCTAATCTTATATTATATACAAAGATGATTCCCAGATTAATAAAATGTAATTGCAGAAAACAACACAGTTAATGTTAAATGAAAGAAATATTGTTGTGACATATAGGTGGGAAAATGTTTCTTAAACAAGATTGCAAAAGTATTAAATGTAAAGTAAAACTTTATGAATTAGATTATATCAAGTCAAGGATTTCTCTTTTATGAATGTAGCTGTAGACAATATTAATAGTTGAGTGACAGATACATAAATTCAAGTGATTACTGTTTAAACAAGAAATTCTTGGCAAATCTGCACCAAGATTTCAGGAAGCCTATAGAAATAGGAATAGATAGTTCATAAAAATAATCTCAGATAGCTAAGAATTACATGAAGAAAGACTCAGTTATATTAGAAATTAGAGAAATATGAAAGCATTGTGGTACTACTTTGTATTTGTCACCATGGCAAAAATGTTGAAAGTCAACTAATAATATCAAGTGTTTGTGATAATGTGGGATGTACTAGTTATCTGTTGCTATGTGACAAACCACCCCAAAACCAGTAGCTTAAAAACAGCAGAAAATATATTTTGCTTATGAATATGCAATTTGGACAGAGCTTGTTCTTTTCAGCTATACTTGGGGTCAACTACAGTCATCAAAGTCTAGAGAACTGAATCATCTAAAAGGATTGTTTACTCAAATATTAGGTTTTGATGCTGTTTGCTAGAACATCCATGCATGGTCTCAGTCTGATTTGGGCTTTCTCACAACATGGTGACTGAGCTCCCAGGCAAGAGTTTGGAGAGTGTGAGATCCCAGTAGAAGCCATATTGCTTCATCATTTCATGATCTGGCTTCAGAAGTCATGCAGCACTACTTATTTTGTTAAGACAGTCGTAAAGCCTTTTCAAATTTAATGACTTTTAATGGTAGAATGGCATAGTTGTAGACAGGCATGCTAGACCAGAAATATTTCTGTGATGAATTTTACCAAGTATAAGGTGCTACACAAGAGCATGGAACTCTCCTACATTGTGGTAGTAGTATAAACAGATGATTCTGGAGAACAATCTGGAGAAATAGTGAAATAAAGTATGCTAAATCCCAATGCCTCAGCAATCCCTTTCTCAGATATATTCTCCTATAGACGTTCTATCATAAGACCTTAAGGTACATGCACAGGAATGTTTAATATAGCCTTGTTTGTGATAGTAGGGAGTTGAAGGTAAACTATGGGAATGGGTAAATATGATGGAATCACACCATATAAAATTAAACAATGCTCAGAAACTGAATTAGGTGAATATGCAAAATATGATTACACCTAACAAGGAATGTTCAAAACCAGAAAAAGAAAATTTAAAGTAATCAAAATATATAAACATGGAACAGCACTGAACAGTTTCACCCACGCACATACACACACAACCAAAAAAATAAAGAAATTAGTTTGAAAGATAATAATTTAATTTACTATCCTGTTAATTACTCTGCAGAGTATAATACTATTATTGATAACAATAAACTGTCACATCTTAACAAGGCTTCTGAATAAGTTAAACAAATTTACTAAAATTCAAAATTTAAATAACTTCATTCTTTATATAAGTGAAATTCTGATAGTAAAATATTATAGAATACTGACTACAATTCTACTAGATTTCCTTGATCATTGTTTAAGTTTTCTTTGTTTTAGGTTTTAGTTAAATACAAAAATAAGTAGGCAAACAAAGTAAAGGGAAGTTCTAGATACCTGGTTAATGATATCTATTTTTCTCTAACCTTCCCAACAAAATTTCAAGCCCACAAATAAAAGTTATAGGTGGTGTGAAGAACAAATTAAAGTTAAAATGACCAAATATTACCTGTTTTTTATGGAATGTGTACATTGGTGAATAGTAGATTTCTGTTTGAATCTATCTATGTAACTATCTATTACATATCTAATCTAGCTAATCCATCTATCCAGTTTAGTTTGGGAAAGGTAAGTTTGTGAAGATTGGCCGTTAACATTTGATTGGCATATCTGTTCCTCTTCATCTAACAATAAAATAATTGTTATATAACTTATTTCTATTTCAGATTCTGATGAAGAATCCAGTGTTCATATGCCTAGCTCTGTCAAAAGCTACAGAATCTTTACTTAATATTGGAGCTTCTGAATTTTTGCCAATATATATAGAGAATCAGTTTATGATAACACCCAGTTTGTCCACTATTCTTGCAGGTAGACTTTCTTTCTCATTGTGCCATTTCAAAAATTTTGTATAAAGTTTTCTTATATGTATTTATGTAATACCTCAAATAAGCAGAAAATACAAGGAATAATATACCTAGATAACATTTGTTCACATTTTAAAAATATGAACACTTTGCCATCATTACATCAATATTTTTTGACACAAGAAGCCTTGAAATGACTTCTCTACTCCTTTCTTAACCCATTTCTCTTCATCCCTTTCCACAGGTAACCACTCTTCTGAAGTTAGACTGCATCCTTTCCAGGCATTATTGTACATCTTTACTGCTTATGCACTTGTCTATATACAACCTACTAATAAACTTGATGTATTATTTTGTACATGCTCTTCTGCTATTTCTTTTTCATCAGAAATTATGTTCTTCAGATTCATGTTGCTCTATATCTAGTGTATTTTAATTGTGCTTTCAGATTCTATTTTATGAATATATCATCATTTATATATTCACTATCTTGTTAATGAATATAAAGTTGCCTTCAAATTTTTCATTCTTCCAAACAGTGCAGTAATGAACAGGCTTTTGATATATCCTTATGTACATTTGTAAAGTTGATCTAGGTTTAGACAACAAAGGGGAATTGCTATTGTGTACATTTTCAGTTTTACTAGGTATTGGGAATTGGCTCTCCAAAAAAGGTTGCAAATGAAATTAAATGTTTTAAAGTTCTAGCATTAATGGGAAAGTTTTAAATGTAATCATTTATTTTGGGGTATAAAAAGTCAAGGATACATTCTATAACTTTTAGGGTAACCAATAAAGGAATAGTAACATGGTATAATGATATGGAACAATTGATTGATCAAAAATAGGAAAGACTGAAGTCATATAAAATATGGTCCAAATAAAAAACATATTAAAATGTGCAGAAACTTTGAATATAAACCTATTATTGAGCAGATTTTCTTTATAAGAGGGCACAGCATTGTTAGACTGTAAATTGTCTAGAAAGCCAAAATATGGCACAGATCAGTTTCCAGGATCATAATGACAATTTCTTTTTCATGAGCACACTATGTTTTTGGCCACTCTGATTAATCAACAGAAGTTGAGAACTAAATCCATTCCATTTTTTTTTCTTACAGTATTTAATTAAGGCTGGTAACTATGGACTCCAAACACCAGGATGAGGCCACTTCACACATTGACTTTAACTATGCCCTTAAGCTCCTGGATCCAGCTACTTGGACAAATCATTTAGCTATCAAAATCTATCTTAAAAAGCCAGGTGGCTTTCTTCTTAAGGTTCTATATTGACTTTTCCACTTAGCCTGAGGTATTAATCCAAATATAACAGAATATATTAACAATTGCAGATTCCACCTTGGCCTAAAAGACGAAATTTTAGGCAATTCTGTCATCCACAACAATGTAAATCAGTGAATTAGGCTGACTGGAGTGCTTTCTAGGAATGAGCTGGTGTCATTACTTCAAGTAAAGTCAGGGACAAATTTTATTCACTTTTTCTAATTGGATTACTCTTATTGCAGAAATAACTGCTCTAAGGCTGCATATGAATAACACATCACAAATAATACCTCTGGGAAATCCCCCTGAGTAATCAAGAGTAATTTTTAGAGAAATTTCCAGTCTTCTGAGAGATATATGAACTACTAGTCGTGTTTCTGTAAACACTTGATGATCTTTTATGACCACCCTTATGGTCTTGAATATTCCATTTCCATTTGACAAATGTTTGTCAAATAGTCATGAGACTGATTTGGTCCATCATAAAATGAGAATACCAGTTCACAAAGTCACAAGCTCATTATGAGTCAGGACTTTGGTTTCGACAAGATGTCAGTAGTAAGTTAATAGTTGCTTTTCAAACGGTAGCAGTGTTAGGGAGTCAATGCGTGTTATGAGTGGAGACTGCCTCCTTTCTCCAGAGGCTCCAGTCCACCAAATTATGAGTCATTGAGACTGGTAGCTCAAAGAGGTAATTAAATTTGTAGCACCTCAAAGTAGAGAGTATGCCACAGCTTGCTGTTCAGCTTCAATGTAGGTTTGTGGGTTACCCTCACTGTGGGTGAACTGATACAAAACAATAAGTAAAATACCAAAGTCTACTGGCCCTAACACCCAGGGTCCAAGGTGATACTAGGCTGCCTTTTGATTGGAGAGAAGGGAGACAATTTTCCTTGAGTAAATAAGCATTTTATCTGTCTGCACAGTCCCTATGACGAGCAGTCTTTTGGCTTTTGTTGGGCTTTATCAGTTATCCTTCCTGATGAAGGTGTGATAATGCCAAAGTAAGAGCCATTGACTCTGAGGCTTCTGACCTTCTAGCCAACTGAATATCAACTATCAGTGAAAAGTTGGGGCCTTAGAGGGTAATGAGACTCACATTAAATTCTTACCCACCCCCTTATAGCAAATGGCAGAAGAATGTAGGTATTCTTGAGAGAACACCGTTGTGCATTTGTGACTTTACATCATGAATTAGAATTGACCTTTGTTCTTAGATGCCAAAGAAATACAAAAGAAGGCTTTGACAATATTCAAGACAGTATATGAAGTGTCATCAGTCTGTGTGGCAGATTTGGTTGCAACATAATGTTTGGAACTACCAGGGATATAGGAGCAATAACTGAATTCAGTAGTGGTTAATCCACTGTAAGCCTCCAGCCCCTGATAATCTTTATGCCTGGCCCTACAGTCTGTTCAATTGAGATATTGCATCTCTTACTGCCTCTGCTGACTTGAAGTCCATACTCAAAGCTGGGACTTTACTTTTTCCTCCTGGGATTCTGTGCTGTATCTCTTAGATCTTAATTAGTGATTGAATATTGTATATATTGTATATCTGTCTGCATAGTCCCCTAGAACTATGATGAGTAGTCTTTTTTTTTTTTTTTTTGAGTTGGAGTCTTACTCTATGGCCTGGGCTGTAGGACAGTGGCACACTCACAGCCAATGCAGCCTCGACCTGCTGAGCTCAGGTGATCCTTCCACCTCAACCTTCCAAGTAGTTGGAACTACAGGCACATGCCACCATGCCCGGCTAATATTTTGGTTTATTGTAGAGATGAGGCCTTACAAGTTGCCCGGGCTGGTCTCGAACCCGTGGGCTCAGGCAATCCTCTCATCTTGGCCTCCCAAAATGCTGGGATTGCAGGCTTCAGCCACTGAGTCTGCCAGATGGGTAGTCTTTTGGATTTTGTTGGGCTTTATCAGGCACCCTTAGGCTCAGGCACCCTTACTGATGTAATGTACCCCCCACTTCCCCTAGCAGTGTTCCACTACTGCCAATCCCTTTCTTATAGTATTATGCTAGATGCTTAGGGTCCACTTATGAGTGAGAAGATATTGTACTCAGTTATTTGTTTCTGTGACAGCTCACTGAGCATGATAGACTCTAAATCTTTGCAAGTTGCTATGAAGTCCATAATTTTGTTCTTCTTTATGGTTATATAATATTCCATCGTGTATATGTAGCACATTTTAAAAAATCCAGTCCACTTTTGATGGGCAGCACAGTTGGTTCCATGTTTTTCTATTGTGAACAGTGCTTCAATATACATGTGTACACAGGTATCTCTTCTGTAAAATGATGAGTTCCTTCAGGTATATTCTTTTAGAAATTGCCCCACTATTTTTCATAGATGTTGAACTAGTTTGCACTCCCACCAACAGTGTTGAGTGTTTCCTTTTCTTTGCATCCTCACCAGCATCTGTTGGTTTTTGTTTTATTAATGATGGCCATTCTTTGGTGGTCTCGAACCCATGGGTTTGGTGGTCTCTCAGTGTGGTTTTGATTTACATTTCTCTGATGAATAACGAGGCTGAGCATTTTTTCATGTATATGTTGGCTGTTCATATGTCTTGTTTTGAGAAGTGTCTACTCGTGTCCTTTGATCACTTTTTTAAATGGGGTTATTTGTTTTTCTTTCTTTTTAGCAAGTTTGAGTTTCTTATAGGTCCTGGATGGTAGGCTCTTGTCAGATACACACTTGGCAAATATTTTTTCCCATTTGTGGGCTGTCTCCCTGCTCTCTTGATAGTTCATTTTGCTTCACAGAAGCTTTTCAGTTTGATGAGGCCACCGTTGTCTATCTTATCTCTTATGGCATGGACTTTTGATCAGGAATTGGTTGCCTATTCCAATTTCTGTAAGAGTGTCTTCTGTGTTTTCTAAGATTCTTATAGTTTGAGGTTTTACATTTAGGTCTTTGAACGATTTAGAGTTGATTTTTGTGTATGGTGATAGGTAGGAGTCCTGTTTCATTCTTCTACATATGGTCAGCCAGTTTTCCCAGCACCATTTACTGAATAGGTTCTTCTTTGTCAAAGATGAGTTGGTTGAGAAATTGAAGTTTTGCTTCCAGAATCTCTATCCTGTTTCATTGGTCTATATGCTTGTTTTTGTACCAATACCAGGCAGTTTTGATTATTATAGCCTTATAATAAAGTTTAAAGTCTAGGAATGTGATACTTTCCACTTCGTTTATTTTGCTGAGGATTGTTTTGGCTATTCATGGTTGTTTATGTTTCCATATGAATTTCTGTACAGTTGTTTATAGGTCTCAGAAGAATGGTGATGGTAATTCAATGGATATTGCATTGAATCTATAGGTTGCCTTGGGGAAGGATGGACATCTTAACAATGTTGATTCTTCCAATCCATGAGCAAGGAATATATTTCCATTTGTTTTTGTCTTCTTTGATTTCTCTGAGCAGTGTTTTTGTAGTAAAGGTCTTTCACTTCTTTGGTTAGAAATGCATTTCAGTCGGGCTCGGTGGCTCAGCCTGTAATCCCAGCACTTTGGGAGGCTGAGGTGAGTGGATTGCCTGAGCCCATGGGTTCGAGACCCGCCTGGGCAACTTGGCGAGACCTCATCTCTACAATAAATCAAAAATTAGCCGGGCGTGGTAGCGCATGCCTGTAGTTCCAGCTACTTGAAAGACTGAGGCGGAAGGATCGCCAGAGCCCAGCAGGTTGAGGCTGCGGTGGCTGGAAGCGGCCAC